TGCCCGGCTTCTTGGCGGCTGCGGCGACCAGCTCCATCCCCTTCCTCTTGTTCTGTTCGATCATTTTTCCTGTCTGCCTCACAATTCTCCGGTGAATAAACAAATTAAGAACCCTTCAAGCGCTCTACATGCAACCGAACCACAATGTTCCGGCACCCGGTTATGACATCACTTATCTCCGACGGCCGTATTCCTTTGTGTCACGTGATCTGAGACGCAAACAGCACATGGAGTGGGGTAGGGGGATCTTTGTTATTGGTGGTAAACCAGGATGTGGGCGGGGTTATAGGTGCAGGCGAGTGCTTGTGGAGGGAGGCCAGTATGGCGACGTACGCAAAGTATCTGTGAGTTCTGGAGAGATGAGTGCCTTTCCTTAAACGGTAGGTAGCTTTAATAGTGATGTCGAGAGCTACCATTATAATGCACTTTCACTATACTGTGAGGGGAACTTTTCAATACCGAAGCAGTTGCCCAGGGCAACCAATCAGCTTCTCCCTTCAGTTTGTTCAGTTAAGATTTGAAAATGAAAGAGAGAAGCTGATTGGTTGCCATGCACAGCTGCTCCAGTTTGGATGAATCCCGCTCTTTGTGTCCTTGATGTGAAAGCAGAACTAAACCTGCAAAGTAAAAAACAACTTCTAGCACACATTCATGGTAGAGGGGGCTCTGTCTATCTCTTCTGCTGTAAAATCTTTCCCCTGCCTGCTATCTTTTATCATGATTTTAACACTGACAGCTACAATCATGGCATGTGTAAAATGCCAAAGTAAGCTCGGGGTCCTGGGGTGCATAAACGTCTCTGTGCATACATGGGAGTTATGTCATTCTGGTCAATCAAGACAGCAGAAGATTGCTGAACACATAGGAAGACGGAGAGAAAATGAAAGTGACAAACGCAGGAGTTAAATCTTAAAAATGCATCAAAGTATCCTAACTATTAAAGTGGACCATTAATCCATTTGACTAAAAATCACATCAGCATACAGCTCTGCATGCTGATATGAAATCATCTTACATTCATTAGCTGAACAAACATATTTTGTGCCCAAGCATTGCATCCCGGGAAGGTTACATCAGATTGCTGGGAAATTGCCTCTGTAATCTCACAAGCTCTCAGGGAAAGGCATTTTCGTTCCCTGAGATCATGTGCATGTCCTACTCGCATCTACCAGAGTTCCAGGAAGTAAAGGGAGATTATTCTGCCCTCATTAAAAATGGCCACTGTGAGAAGACTGGGGAAAGAAAAGAAAAATAAGGTATGTAAAGAATAAAAAGCCGGCAATTATATAGAAGTATGTGTTTGTAGATTGTCATTAGTAAGCGTTTCTAAAGGTGTGCTTGTGGTCAGTTCAAATATAAAGAGTTAAAGTTGCTCTTTAAGAAAAATGTATTTTATTTGTGTATCACTTGGTTGAAGCTCCTCAAATCATCTCTATATTCACGTTTACACTGTTCTTACTTCTGGAGGGTGACTACTTTGGTTCCCCATGGTCCCTGTGTGTGTTGTAAAGTAGCCATCACTCCAAGCTCACTCCTGTGATGGACTACAATCTCACGTCTTTACTAATTTGTGGAGAGATTGTAATCCATCACAGTAGTGAGCTTGGAGCAGTGACTACTTTACAACACACACAGGAACCATGGGGAACAGAAGTAGCCACCCTCCAGAAGGAAGGACAGTGTCAGCACCAATTCAGTGATGATTTGTGGATCTACAGCTGAGTGATACACAAGTAAGATACATGTTTGTTAATAGTTAAAGTGACATTAAAGGATAATTTTTTTCCCCCTCCCCCCAATGTTAGTGTTAGCACTTACCTTAAATGATGTTTCTTAATCCGATCTTCTTCTTCTTTCCTGATGTTTTCATCTGTCCCTCCAGCGCTGCGGCGGCTCTCATTAAAAAAGAATAAAAAAAACCCCAAAAAATGTAAAGTCCCCCACCCATACATACACGCATGCAAACATGCGTCAGCGGAGCATACGAGCAAAAACGACGATTGCGCCCATTACGCTGCACATGTTACATATCGCCGCAAACGTCGGAATGAGAGCAATAAGTCTAGGGCCATCAATCACTGATAACACTAAACTGATGAGCGGTAAAAGCTTTTAAAGTGTCGCCCATGGCCAATTTTGGGTATGGTAATTTTCGCGGGTGAGCGCAATTTTAAAGCTTGACATGTTTGGTGTCTATTTACCCGACGTGACCCGATCTTTTATATTTTACCAAAAAACTGGGTAATAATAAATGTTTCCTAACATAATGTAAAAAAAAACTTTTTTTTTTCAAATTTTTTTTTATTTTTCCTAATTATAGTAAAAAATAAAACCCCCAGTGGTGTTTAAATACCACCAAAAGAAAGCTCTGTGTCCCCAAAAAATGGTATAAAATTCATTTGAGTACAGCGTTGCATGACGGAATAAATGTCAGTCAAAGGATGGCAGCTCTGAAAAATGGCCTGGCCAGGAAGGGGGTCTAAACACCTCGTCTTGAAGTGGTTAAAGTGTCAGCAACTGAGCAACAAAGCAGGTTGCAAACATTGCAGTGATGGAAGGGAGCCCTTTGTAAGATTTGTGTGCCAAAATATGCTGTGTATGTTTGTACATTATGGCAAAAACTCCAAGCAGGCTGAAACCCCCTTATCTCTGTTGTAACAGATCTAATAACATTTAGAAAAACATTTACAATATTAATATTGTGATAGGGTGTGTTCAGAGAGGACTCGGATATATGTAATTCATAGACATTTATTGAAATTCTTTTTCCTTAAAATTAGGGATGCACCGATACCACTTTTTTAAGGCCGAGTACGAGTACCGATACTTTATTCCAAGTACTCGCCGAGACTACATTTCTCTATCCCTAGGATTGTTGCTGATTAATAAAATATTCATAACATAACAATTTCAAAATTCATAAATTCATAGACATATTTGTATTTCATACAGTTCTTTTAAGATATAGCACTACTTGATGAATCACCTACGCGTCTAATAACATGATATCCACTTCCAGGCTACAAGTGGAGGCAGCCAGTGAGCTACTAGTGCCATCCCCAAGGCTACCTACAGGGGTCTAGGGCTCAGTGGATATCCAGGGGGGCCTAGTTATAACCTTCATGCTCCTGCAGTACTCAGTGGAATAATGCAATTTTTCAAAGTTGTGCACCAGTGTGTCAAGGATGGATGCAGTTGTGTGTAGTAGATTTCTGATGTGATTGGCTATGCCAGTATAGACAGTGCAAATTAGGTGGCTTTTGGTGCCTGCTGCAATCCTTATTAACCCTTAGACACTGGCTCCTGCAAAAGTTGTGCATCTAAATCGTCTGTTTTTAACCCTACTGGCTAGACGGTGTAAATTGTTTTTACGTTTTTGCAGGCTAGCTGGTATGTTTGCTAGGATATTTTTCTAGTGCTTTTCTAGCCCTTTAAGAGGTTCCAAAGGATGGAAGGCAGAGAAAGGCTTCAAAATCATGTGATTTCTGTGACTGGCAGTCACGGCACTCACATAATTTGGATCCCACCTTACTTACTATCAATCATAAACTGTGACCAGGAGCTGTCGGTAGCACCTTGGTCACCATGCTGGAAACGCACTAGTGAACATGCTCTCTGCATAGAACAGCAGGCCGGCTGTATGCATATATATGTGTTAAACCAGTGAGTAAGGGTTAAAGGAGAACTATGAGATGGGTGATTTCCACTCACCTCATAGTTCTAGCCGACCTGTGACAATGAGACTGTCACAGGTCGGCTCAGTAGATCGGGAGGTGGGCGAACACATACCGGGTTCGCTCACCTCTCGATCCTGTCACGGTTCTCTGCCGTGACAGG